AAAAAAAAAAAAAAAAACTCATCAAACCGAACAATGAAGAATGATGCATTTCACTATATAAATATTACTACAAAATTAAATGAAATAATGTATATCAAATTTAATGTCATTAATTATTTTTTGTTGATATGGATAAAGTTATAAAATTAGTTGTGTATTACTTGTGCAAACTGATCACTAATAATGGCCATCAAGTTTCCCATTGTTTGAGAATGATATTGTGAAATTTGAAAGTGGACATATGTCAAACTAGAATATGCCCTGTAGTTTCAAACGTGAATTGAAATTATCAGCATTGTTCATGATGTATACCACACAAACATGCACATACATACATATCCATATATATAATCCTAGATCTATCTGCTGAGAAGTGCTAGCACCAAAGTTATGATTATTCTTAGCCACAGCCAAACACGCTAAGGGTATGCATCACTGTGCCTACAGGCTTGGAACCATAGTTGCAGGGGACATCAAGCTCAACTGGCATAACATACTACACAAAAACATTGTTCCATATCCCTTTGGTGAGTAGTGACTGGGGTCTTAAAAACTTGCAAGCAGCTATCTAAGATGCAACAACAATCAGTCTTTCCTCATCCGGAGCAAAGAAGAATGAAGAAAATCAGAGATTCATAGAAACAATTAGTCCAAGGGACTAGAGGACTGACCATGGGAATCTCTGCCTACACGACTGTGAGACCAGAAGAACTAGATGGTGCCTGTCAACTACTCAGAAAGGGATCAAAATAGTAGATCATGGATAGAGTGGGAGAAAAATGTGGAACAAATCTCAAAATAATAATAATAAAAAAAAGACCAGGCTTACTGGTCTGACAGGAACTGGTGAAACCCCCAACACTATGGCCCTTAGCCACCCTTTGGGCCTGGACTTGAACTCACTCCCATGGCTTCCAACCAAACAACAGATAGGACTACAATTATACCACGTAGTTACACTCTTTAGAACAATCAACCATGGGAGAGCAAAGAAGCAGCATTAGCACAGGCAGAAATCTCAGAAGGTAGGAATACACAGGAAAGAAGGACATAATCACAGGGAGGAAGTGGGAAGAGAGCTATTACTTTATGGGGATTGTTGTCAATGTAATGAGACAAAATGTATATAAAGTGTTGAACAGAAAATGAAATTGCTCTGTAAACTTTCACCCAAGTCACAATAAAAAGTTTTAAAAAAAATCTCATGAAAAAATCATGCTTAATTGTGAAATATTGAAAGTTTTGTTCCTGAGTGTATGAAAAAGTCAATGATGCCTTCAATGACAACCTCTATTTAACACTATACTTGAGGTCCTAAGCAGTAAAATGAAGAAAGAAAAAAAAGTTAAGAACTGAAAAACAAGAAATAATCCCAACATTATTCTTGGAGAGCATAATTGTGTACTTAGAAAATTTCTAAGCATATAGAGATACACAATTTAGAATTTAGGATAAGAAGATTGAGCAAGGTTACTGGTTTTATCAATGTATAAAATAATTTAACAATGTATAAAAATCAATTATGTGTCTCTATACCAACAACACCAATATAGGTATTCAAATTTAAAAAGCAATGCCATTAAAAGTGGCTGTGTGTGTGTGGATAGAGAAACAGAAACAGAGACAGAAACACATCTGTTAGTATCACTCATGTGGATGGCTAATATCTACATAAAGAGGAGACTGTTATATGAGTTCTGCCGTAATACTAAGGGACCTGGAGATACATACTCTTCTTGATTTTGTTTTCAGAGATAAATAAAATATGGTGAATGAAATAATAGCACAGTTTTGAGCTATGTTCCTGCAACTTTAGAGTGTTTCATGAACTTTAGAAAGTAATATTTTCTTAAGGTATGGGCATCTCTGAAGGCAGGACTCTTGCTGAAGCAGCCTACACTGTTAGAGTGAGAAGTTCTCTGCTGAAGTGTGCTGGATTAAGAAGAGAAATAATGCTCATCACTGTTGCATTATTGTTAGGTACCATGATGATTCACTCAGGTGACACAGTAGAACTGCCACATAGGATTTTCTTGGCTGCAATCATTAGAAAATAAGATGGCCAGGTCTTTTTTCCTGCAGGTGGGTTTGAACCATCACCCTTTCATTTAGCAGCCCAGCTCCTTGACAATTGTGCCTCCAGGGCTCCTTGGGGATTCTGACTCATAGCAACCCCGTTTGGTTTCCAAGGCAGTAAATCTTTAGGGAAGTAGATTGTCCAGTCTTCCTTACACAAAGGGGCTGGTGGGTTTGAACCTCCAGTCTTCTGGTTAGCAGTCAAATGCCTTAGGCCCCACACCACGAGAGCTCCTGGGGATATACTAGATCAAAATATTTCTGTAGTGCCTATTTTATCTTTTCTGTCCTCATCTGTTAAAACTCCCAGAGAAGCTATATCCACGGGTGAGCAGTTCATACTGTGGTACATTTCTAATTTTTCAAGTGGAAAGAGTGAAATATATAATTCCTCTCCCCAGTTTAAGTCTCTCAAAAAATCAGGCTGGAATATAGTGGGGAAGAAAAGTAGTTATAAACTGGCTATGAAATTTGAGTTTTAAACAATAATGGACTGAATTTTAATAGTTCATAATGGCTCAAAAGTAATGGGATTTAATTACCACGAAAATATATATATATTTTTTTAAAAAAGCATGTTTGAAAATAGTAACTAGGGGAAAAATAAGCACTATGTTGTTGTTGTTGTTGGGTGCCATCGAGTCATCTCCGACTCATAGCGACCCTGTGTACAGCAGAATGAAACATTGCCCAGTCCTGAGCCAGCTCCACAATCCCTGTTATACTTGAGCCCATTGTTGTAGCCACTGTAAGCACTATGTGGTTATTGTTTACCAAATTGAAACTGAGAAATAAGTATTTTGAAAAAATATCTTAAACTACATTAAGAATATAGCAAACAGATTAATAATACACTAGTTTATCCACAGATATTAAGAGTCAATATAAGTAATTTTCTGTTATGTATTCACTTTACCCAAAGATGTAAGAACTATATTCACAAAATGCATGTTGCTTTTCCAAATATTTAAACAATAACAGTTGCTTTTCCAAATATTTAAACCTGGACAAAACAGACATGGAGAAAGGATAAAACATCAA